CATCATTCACTGAGATAAGTAATAGGTTTCGAGCTATTTCCAATGAACTTCAGGCGAGGTACCTAGCAATCAGACGAGACAGATGAAGCCCAACGTTTGATGACGATGGCACTTCGAGGAGATATGTACAAATAAAAACGGCTATAAATTTTTAATAAACATAGAATCAAAGTCACTAAATAGACAATAAAGAAGTAGTAACCGTGCTATTTATGACTTATCGTCTATTTATTGTGCCCTAGTTCCAATTTTTTTATTAAAAGGGTGTAATCACTTATACATATGTGAGAAATGCTAAAGAGACTTTCAAAAGTTAGACTTTCCATAAACTCTCTGTCATCTCATGTTTTGATACAATGTTTGATAATGTTAGTGATGGGTGCATATATTCATATATTTCCTTTGAATTTTGTATATTCAAATGGGTTAAATGCACTAAATTTAATTGTTTTATTTTATAAGCATTCCATACCGGAGTTATGCAAAAAAAAGAGTAGAAAACAAGCTTTTCATGTGTCTAGAGTAATTTCGGTGGAGCAAGAGGCTAATTAACTGCACCAAGACAAATGCATGAAATTGAAACGGTTTTGGAGATCAAATGGACATGCGAATGCCATTCAATATACTTTAGGAGAGACTTAATTCCTAGCTTTTATTTAGTTTTTTCCGTTTAGTTTCCATTTTTCTTAAATAAGGGCTTAAAGTCCATTAGGATTAGTAATTAGCAGGCATTTAATTTGCCTTTGGATGCTTGCCGTGTGTTATATACAAGGAGATTCCTTCTCCTTGTGAGGATTGAGCCACCAAAAACCAAAAATCATATATTGGAGGAGTAGGTTGCGGCAAGGAGGAAGAGTTCAGAGCTTTTTCTTTCTTTGCTAGGGCTACAATGTAGCCTGATCATGAATACTTAATTGTCTTGTGGCGTGTTATTATCAAGTTTTTCTTCCTTATTGAGTATTTTTTGCTAATCGTAATGCACTTGATTTCTATTTAGATACTTGATCACCATCTAAGTTTTAGTTAAGTTGATTTAATGCAAGTTAGAGTAGATGCCATACTTAACTTAGGTTTAGCTTCTTGCAATTGATACCATAAACACCTATTTGTAGATGTCATTCAATTCGGGTTTATGTGATTTTCCAACGATTTCCATAGAGCTGAATTGGTCCTTACTTGTTTAAATTCATATAGAAGTCATAGAGGGTTAACATGTAAGGATACTTTTGATGCAACCAGATGCCATTACCGTTGAATAATTTAGAGAAAATTGATCATCAATATTGAAGAACTAATTGAGCATAACATATTAAGGGAATTAAGTAGAATTGGTTACAGTGAATTTAGATGCCCTAGGTTTTCTTTTCTTATATTTTAATCTTATTATTTTATGCACTTTATTTTTAAGTTGTATTTCATTTCAATTTAACTCAAATCATATCTATCTTTTTCGTTAAAACTTCTCAATTATAATTTGTTTCAATTTAATTAGTAAGATTTTAGAATCAATTCGATCTCTGTGGGATGATATCCATGCTTATATGATTCGTATACTTACGAGCACTAAAATTTGAGACTTATTGAGGTTAATTTTGGGTCCTTTTTTTTCTCACTCTTTTATCAAACATCAACTTTTTATATTTTTCGTTTCATTTTTTTTTTCACCATTTTTTTCCTTTTCTAGTACAATATTTAGGCCCCAACACTTTCTCTCGTCTTAAAGGATTACTCTACGAGATCTTTAGACGGGTTGGAAATTTTTTACAAGGCTAGATAGGGAAAATATAGGTTAAAGAAACAAAACAAAGACTCACATAAATGCTCAACGGGGTTAACTAGGGAAAATAATTATAAGGGTTGGCTAGAAAGGTTCAAACGAAAAGAAAAAAAAAAAAAGCCTATGTCATTTCCAATATTTTACATAAATGATGAATGCAACAAGAGGTATAAAGCAATTTCTAGAGATACATATAAAAATGAGATCATGCGCACAAGAATAAATGAGATTGATGTATAATGATTCAATCTATTTTAGGCTCAAAAGCTCCCAAAGGGTCATATAAAGTCACTAGATTCACTTATGAAGTGTTAAATCATGCTCTAGTTTCACATCAACAAGGCTATATGCATTTGTTTTTCCAAGTCATGGCCATCAAAATATGGTTAAAACAAAGATAATGTAAAGAACCTAATTTCAAACATAAATTTCTTGAAGGTTCAGAGAAAATAAAGACTGAATTTCATACTGAATTTGGAAGTAGCCAATAAAACAAGCCTCAAAGAAAAATAAAATATTTTTGAACTTTTCAAAATTTTATATTTTTTCTGTATTTATTTTTTTAGAACTAAAATGAAGAAGACTACAAAATGAAGATAAGAATAATGAAAGTAGACGACAAAGGTACAAAAAAAGAAAAATAAATGAATACAACTCTTGGACAAAGAAACTTTTTGGATTTAAAGGAGATGGGCAAGTGAAGATGTAGATGGAATCCACCCCAAAACTTGAATTTTTGTATTGGCAACACGATTAAGTGGCTCCACTTTTCTGTAAAAATACAAAACAATGGGTAAGCTAACAAGAGACTTAAGAAAATAATTTATTATTGAAAAAAAAAACTAACAATTAACATTAAAGCTAAACCAACTAAAACAATTTAACAATCCAATTAGTAAATAATAGAATCAAATTCGATCCTAGGCAACGGCCCCAGAAACTTGTTACGAAAATTAGATAACTATAATTAACCTCATTAAGTCTCGAATTTTAGTGCTCGCAAGTATACGAATCATATGACAATATAGCATATAAGCATGGATTCTAAAGTCTTACTAATTAAATTGAAACAAATTATAATTGAGAAGTTTTAACGAGAAAGATAAATATGATTTGAATTAAACTGAAATGAAATACAACTTAAAAATAAAATGCATAAAATAATAAGATTAAAATATAAGAAAAGAAAACCTAGGGCATCCGAATTCACCGTAACCAATTCTACTTAATTCCCTTAATATGCTATGCTCAAGTAGTTCTTCAAAATTGATGATTGATTTTCTCTAAATTATTCAACAGCCATGGCATCTGGTTGCATCAAAAGTATCCTTACATGTTAACCCCTTATGGCATCTAGATGAATTTAAACAAGTACGAACCCATTAAGCTCTATGGAAATCGTTGGAAAATCACATAAACCCTAATTGCATGGCATCTACAAATAGGTGTTTATGGTGTCAATTGCAAGAAGCTAAACTCAAGTTAAGTATGGCATCTACTCTAAGTTGCATCAAATCAACTAAAATAAAACTTAGATGGTGATCAAGCGTCTAAATAAAAATAAAATGCATTACAATTAGCAAAGGATTCTCAATAAGGAAGAAAAACTTAATAATAACATGCCACAATACAATTAAGTATTCATGATCAGGCTACATCGTAGCCCTAGCGAAGAAAGAAAAAACTCTGAACTCTTCCTCCTTGCCGCAACCTTCTCCTCCAATATATGATTTTTGGCTTTTGGTGGCTCATTCTCCTTGTATATAACACACGGCAAGCATCCAAGGGCAAATTAAATGCCTACTAATTACTAATCCTAATGGACTTTAAGTCCTTTAAGAAAATGAAAACTAATCGGAAACAACTAAATAAAAGCTAGGAATTAAGCTTCTCCTAAAGTCCATTGAATAGTATTTCCATGTACATTTGATCTCCAAAACTGTTGCAGTTTCATGCATTTGTCTTGGTGCAGTTAATTAGTCTCTTACTCCACTGGAATTACTCTAGACACCTGAAAAGTTTGTTTTCCAGTCCTTTTTTTTTTTTGCATAACTCCAGTATTGAATACCTATAAAATAAAACAATTGAATTTAGTGTATTTAACCCATTTGAATATACAAAATCCAAAAGAAATTTATGAATACATGCACCCATCAGTTAGCATGGTGATTGATGTTAAACTGTAAGGTGACAGAGATTTCCACTTAAAGAGAGTCTCCTTAGCATTTCTCTATATATGTTATTTTTTGAAAAACCAAAAGTATGGAAAACGAAATTGCACCGCAGCCATCAGTCAATGATTTTGGTCTCCTTCAAGCCAGAAAAATGGAACCACACCTGCCAAATGTTTTATAAATTTGGCCTCAAGTGGGAATTCATATTGGTTTCCAAATGGAGTTTCGGGAAAACACAAAAAAACAAAAAAAAGTTGTTGTTGGGGAGAGAAGCTCCAACTGATTTGTATTATATATCGAAAGAAAGTGATTTTCGCATGTTTACTTTCTTTCTTTGTAAACTCAAATTTAATTTTAGCATATGAATGAAAAATTAGTTAAAATTTAGACCATGAATAGAATTTAACCAATCAACATAATTTTCTTAATTTTAACCAAAACTTGATATGAAAATACTACAATGCCCTTTCTTAACTAAAATAATTACAAACTATATCTTCTCTACTGTGCAGTCATTCCCCTAAAAATTATCTTCACGCCTAAATTTAAATTAACGGCAACCTGTCTATAAGCACAAATTCAAGGGAAGGCCAAGTGGCCTCATCTGGTTTCGATGCAAAGCTATGAATTTCTTCCTTCTTCTCAACGATGAGTACCCATTTGGGAATTTCAAACTCCAATTTCGGTTTCTAGAGGAGGACCCATTTGTGCTGACCGATTTTAGAGCTGTTGAAATGAGAAAAGTTGCATAGAAGGAGTGCACAAATGCCCCTAGTCAAGCAGTTTTGGAGCTTCTGATGTCAAACATCTACGAGTGAAAAGACGGCTTAGTTTTGTAATTATCTTAGTTAAAAAAGGTATTGTAGTTTTTTTTTTTTTTTTTTAATCTCAAGTTTTGGTTAAAAATATGAAAAGTTACAATGGTTAGTTATATTCATGATCTAAATTTTGACTAGTTTTACAAATTTGCCATATGAATTGAATAAACCAAAATGAAAAAATATGAGTAAATCATTTCCGAAAAGAACAATAACAAGTTGCAGTAAAAATCATGTTAAATAGACCCTATCGGACTGCAATTTGCAAGGCAAAGCGAGTTGGTTTTAAGGACACTTTACCTGATGATTTACTGCCACCTGTTTTAAAGGTTTGATACAGTTCCTGAATTCCCAACTCAATTCCGGAGGAAATGAATGTGTTTCTTCAAATTATGAATGTATCTTCCCCTATGAAGCGGAGTTTGAATCTTAGTCCGCACAATTTATTTTAGTTTAAAGTAGAATATCACATTTACAAAACAAAAACAAAAAAAAAAAAAAAAAAGATAAGGTATTGACATATGGTGTACTTTTTATGCAGGCAGTCATAGAGAGAACAAATTTGAACCCAAGTGAGGTGGGGGATGTAGTTGTTGGTACAGTTAGGGCACCTGGCTCACTTAGAGCCACTGAGAGCAGGATGGCAGCATTTTACGCTAGCTTCCCGGGTAAGTTTTCAACCATATTTGATGTTTGGAGGCCTTTTTTTTGTATTAATTTTAGCTTATAGTGTTATGGTTTGTCGGTTTTGTCCAGATACGGTTCCCATCAGAACAGTCAACAGGCAATGTTCATCTGGCCTTCAGGCAGTTGCTGATGTAGCTGCTTCTATAAAAGCAGGATATTATGACATTGGTGAGAAAATACTCTTGATTATCCATCTATTCTAGCCGCTAGGTGCTCTCCATCAGTGCACTAGATCTTTGTTTTGAATACAGGCATTGCTGCTGGAGTGGAATCCTTGACAGTTGATAAACTTGGCAGATCCCGTAAAATTAACCCTAAAGTATATTCCAACTCTCTTTGTTTACCAGATATATTGCTTAACATAAAGAAAAGAATGTTCTTTTGAACTGATATATGTTGTCAATAGGTGGATATCTTTGCACAAGCCCGCGACTGCCTTCTTCCGATGGGTATTACTTCTGAAAATGTTGCACAACGTTATGGTGTGACTCGGGAGGAGCAAGACACAGCTGCTGTGAGTTTTTTTATATCTGTTACAACATCTATTAACCGTTAGATAGACTGGTAATGCTGAAGCTGTAATTTAATGAATTTATGTGAATAGGTTGAATCACATAGGCGTGCTGCTGTAGCCACAGCATCTGGTAAATTCAAAGATGAAATTGTCCCTGTATCAACTAAGGTAAATATAAAAAAGTTCTCCGTTCAGTTCGCAAAATGCCTTAGCATAAGTACAATTGTATTTTATTTTCTTGTGATTGGTTATTTGTATCATCAGATTGTGGACCCAAAAACCGGAGAGGAGAGGCCTGTTACAATTTCTGTGGATGATGGTATCCGACCAAATACAAACATGAACGATTTGGCAAAGCTACAGCCTGCATTTAAACCAGATGGTTCTACAACTGCAGGTATTTTCTCACTCGATTTTTATAAGGCATTCTGCCTGCTACACATGACAGTTTCTTCGTTTAATTTTATACAACTCTTTCTTTATGTAAGAACTTTTTTTTTAATTTATATTTTCGTCATTGTATTAAAAGGCCGAGTTGTGGGCGAGCCGTCCGAGGGATAGGCCCGCCTAGGCATGAGGCAAAGCCTCATGAGACCTAAATTTTTTAATATACACACTGAATGTACACATATATTATAAATATATATACACACATATATATACATATTATATATATATATATAATAGAGGATGAAAAGCACAATGAGCACACATGTAACAATGCACGCAGACAGCACACACATCCATTATATAAAAAATAAATAAAAATTAGAAAAAAAGGCTGAGAGAAGATAGTGCAAGGAAGAGGTATAAGGCAGTTAAAACCCTACCCAAAATTTGGGTTTGGGAGTAAAAAAACAAGCGGCTAAACAGAGACGCCTGGATGCCCTGAGGCGCGCCTCCGCCGTGTAGGCGGCTCCAGCGAAGCCTTCCGCCCACTCCTTCAAAATAGAGGCGGCAACCCTCATGCCTAACCTCAGAGGGCGCCTAGGTGCGCCCTGAGGCGAGCTTTTTAAAACATTGATTTTTGTATGTCTTGTTTCAATCATTGTGAATCAGTTCATTACTTTTGTCTTTCAGGAAATGCTAGCCAGGTGAAAAGAAGTTTAGCTATGCAGAAGGGACTTCCTATTCTTGGTGTTTTCAGGTATGATGTTGATTAACTCTGTTCAATCTAATTGCTTCAAGTAGAAAAAATATGAGGGCTCTCGAGTTGACTCTGCAATACTGTTATGTTATATTAATTCTTAATAATTCTTTTCATTGCTAATTGTTGTTAATTTCCATGAGATGGATATGTTCAAGAACTAACTACAGCTTGCTTTGTACTTTCGATGCAACTTCATGATCTCTGTGCAGGAGTTTTGCTGCCATTGGTGTGGATCCCGCTGTCATGGGAGTAGGTCCAGCTGCTGCAATTCCAGTAGCCGTGAAATCTGCTGGTCTTGAGCTTGATGATATTGATCTGTTTGAGATAAATGAGGTAGTCCATTGCTAATGAAAACTGTAACATTCACGATAAATGTAGTTTAGTTTGGAAGAATGTTCGGCTGAGCAGTTTAATTGGTTTTCTGTAGGCATTTGCATCTCAATATGTTTATTGTTGCAAGAAATTGGGGCTTGATCCTGAAAAAGTCAATGTTAACGGAGGCGCTATTGCTCTAGGCCATCCTTTAGGCGCTACAGGTATATGAAGTGAAGCTGAAGCTGATGTGTGATGACATAAACATGAGTGCACTGTGTCTAATGTCCTATTATTTGGTTTATTTCCTGGTCTTACTGAACAACGAGGAAGTGAGGGTCTGTGTGATTTAACGTGAATACTGTATCTGTTCTTGTGTTAGGTGCTCGTTGTGTAGCAACTCTCCTGAATGAAATGAAGCGTCGTGGCAGGGATGGCCGCTTTGGTGTTATTTCCATGTGCATAGGTATCGTTTTGCACCCCTTCCACTTGATTTGTTTAAGAAGGAAGGCAGAATATTGAGAGCTTGATATGAGAATATGAAACGCGACTAAGCGTGTGTCCTTGTTGCAGGCTCAGGTATGGGGGCTGCTGCAGTTTTTGAAAGAGGGGATTCAGTTGATGAGCTATGCAACGCTAGAACTGTATAAAGCAACAATCTTGTGTCAAACGATGCTAAATATATAAGAAATGTATCTTTCATTAAATGAAACTGATTACATTTGGAGTATTTATACACAGCAGCTAATAATATTTAGTTAACAACTAATGTAACTAATTAATTTTAATCTATGAATTAGTTACAATAGAAAACTTAAAGACTAAGTAATTGATGACTTGGACTCTAGCACTGTTGAGTTAACTGAGAATAATGTGTGTCTTTAAAATAAACACTTGTTTAAAGCAACAATCTTGCAGGTTTCTTGCTGTTATGCTTTTTATATTATGGACTTTGTCCGTTAATTGTCCTTGCCACACGTTTTATAATTACTTTGATTTTTAAGGACTTCTTGTCCGATAATTTTCCAAAACAAAACGTTGTTCAAGCATTCATTGTTTCCGTTTCCGGCTTCACTCCAATTTCATATATACGGCTGCAGAAAATCCATTTGGTTGAGTCGATGGAGTCAACGAAGAAATATGGGTAAATTTGTCATTTAATCATACGTTCCATTCCGTCATGCGGGTACTAAACACGAAATTGTCCCATTCCATCCTATGCTACCAAATGTAGCATGGAACTTATGTTTTGTTCTGTCCCGTCTGCATACCAAACGGTAAACAAACTAGAATATACATGCTTCACCTTCCAAACTAGAATCCTGAGTTTTTTTTTTCTTCTCTCTCTTTTTATTATTTTGATCTAGCTAGGTCTGGTTCGTTCATCTTGAAATCCACTCTTTCCTCTGCATGCATGCTATCTTTAGTATTTTTCATTGGCATTTGGGAATATCTCTCTTGACGCGAATATACATTGCTGTTTATATACCTCCGATGAAGTTCAGGTACATGCAAATTTCATTTAAATTTTACTACTATCTGATTGCAAGAAAGTAAAGTGAGAAGAAGATGAAGAAGACAACCTCCAAATCCAACGAGACAATGACTTGTAAAATGGCACCAACCAAACAATGTGAGATAATTTCCTTGTCATTTCTCAAGCTCACTGCTCATGCACGCTCACATATGGAAATCTCACTTCCTTTACGTTGATAAAGAAGTTTCAAGAAGGAAGCTTCCTCAGCTACCTCTTTCGTCAAAAAGAATTTTTCTAATTCAATTCGACGTACGTTGTCAATAAGATTCTTAAAGCTTTGATTAGATATGGCTGATGCTTCCAAAGCTATTATTATCAATCAAATTAAAGATACTTTATAAATAAAGAAGACGGTATAAAATGTCAATGTTCAATCTAACTCGATTGTTTATAATAATCTCAAAAACCAACTTTCAAAATTATCATGTGTAATAAGAATAGTGATTGTGAACCATCCATCTTTCAAATTGTTCCTACTTTTACTTCATAGTTTCTATATTTTTACCCTCTTTTCACGTTCTTCAAACTTTATCTAGTGTCACGCCTCAAGCTCATGCATGTATATTTATATTTAAGATTGACAGCTGCTTAGTACAAAGAGCAAAAAAAAACATTAACGTTTTCTGTTTACGACTTAATCTCGTTGGTTTACCATTTTACCTTCATTTAACAAATATTTTTCTAGTAGGATTTAAGAATCAAAATACAAGTTTTTTTCTTTAAATTTTTTTAATTATTTATATATATAGAGTAAAATACAAGGAGTCAAGTATCAATTTGTGTTGGCAAAGTTTCTCTAAAAAGCTAAGCATGTCTACGGTGAATAAGAACACAAGGAATCAGGTGATTTGAGTTTGAGAAAAAAAGTAGATATAATTCCCTTTGTAATTATTTAGAATTGAATATACTAATCAATCTTTCCAAAACTAATATGGGACCAGTATTTGACGCGCTAACTCTCAAAAGATTACGGCAAGCGTGTTCTGCCAATGGAAATCGTAGTTGTATTCTTTTGGGTTATTTAGATATAGACCCTTGAAATTCCTATTTTTCAAATAAAAACCCATCTAAATTTAAACATTCAAATAAAACCCAAATTTCAAATAGCCTACCATGTAGACAAATATATGACCAACTATTACAATACAATTACAACTTATGCCATAGAATCCTAATTTGGTCAATAAATGGTATTACTCATCATAATTATGATGAGCAATTAATTCCATATGGATATTTTACCTTTCTAGTATCATAAATATTAGCAACATATATAAATTAATTTACCAAATTTAAAAGAGAAAGACAATCTTGTACGGAAAAAATAATATTGTTTGAATTATGTACCTACATACAAATTAATTTACCTACTTATAAAATATTATACTAATAAACCTGCATTTTGAACCATGTAATTACCTACATACAAATATTATACTAATTTACCAACATTTAAATTAATTTACCTACTTATAAAATATTATACTAATTTACCTACATTTAAATTAATTTACCTACTTATTAATATTATACTAATTTACCTACATTTAAATTAATTTACCTATTCCAAAAAAAAAAATAGTGATATTAGATAATGTTCGAATGTTGTGGGTTTGTGCTTGTAGGCAAGTAAATAAACTTTTAATCTAATGCACATAAATCATGTAGGTAAATTAGACCATTTTGAAAGTAAACTAGACCCTTTAAATTTTGGTTTGATGTAATAGGTAAATTAGACTATTTTGTAGGTAAGAATTGTGCGGAACATATAGCTTTTGTTTTGTGTATTAGGGATTGGAATATTAGCGGAAGCTGTTTTAGGTTTATTGTTGTGTTGGTAGGCAAATTAACTTATATATGTAATGCATAAAATTATGAAATTAGTATTATTATTTTTCAATTGGCACGTTATAACAATTTAAAAGTTAATACATTGAATATACAATGAATGGCATGAATTATTTTGTAAAATATATAAAATTAATTAAATGGATATAACAAGTAACTGATCCAAAAACCCCATCCAAGTATTAATAGGGGTAGTTTAGGCATTCAAAAAATACACAATTTGAAAAGTCAAACTTAATTAAAGAATTTGTTTAATTGAAGGCTAGTCAATGAGTTTTATTCAAGAAAACAAAAAGAGATGGGTTTTAGTAGAGGAAAATATAGTTTCAAGGGGTAATATCAAATTTGCAGTATTCTTCTTTTTCGTTATTTATACCCCGCAGAGAAAGCACAAACACAAATGCAAAAACATCTCACACACACACGAGAGAGAGAGATGGCAGTAAGGGAATATGTTGAAGGAGCTGCAGAAAAGGGGCTGAAGCAGCAGAAGAACCCAGATGTGGATGACCGGAAAGAAGCAGAGAAAGCTATGAAGATGAAGCTGAACTCAACAGAAGAGGAGATGATGAAGAACTGCTCATGCTTCAAGCCAAAAGCTGGAAGTGTGTTTCCCGCCAAGAGAAAATCCGTGAAACGCATGATGTTTGATCGTTTTGTGCTCAAGCAGTTTGGCTCCTCTGCTGTGAGCGTGTGGCCTCCCAGTCCCCACAAACCCTAATAAAATGTATAGCTATCTTCTCTCTCACTTCTCATCACAATACATGAAACACCCCCAAATTACACACCAAGACAGAAGATAGAATTCACCCCATACCCACTACCCCCAACAAACCCGTATGTGTAATTATCATTCAGCACCTTACTCTTTGCAGAAGCACTTGGTTCATGATGTGTGGCTTTTTAATGTTATATGTTGATCTCTGGTTAATTTTAATTCAATGCATAAACACTTCATTTATTATGTGTTTTTGTTCCGTACATATGGATGTTCGTAGTTCCCATCACTCACATCAGCAAGACACTAGGCGACCATCATTTATTCTTTTTTATCCAGGGACCCATTTTTCTTTTCTTTTTAGGACAGGTCAACTTAATGGTGACTGTCCGAACGTGATTGGACCAAATTAAAAAAATAATTAAATATTAGCAATTCGTCTAATATTTTAATGGTGGCTCTCCGAACGTGATTGGACCAATTCGTCTGAAGGTACCAATTTTAATTAGCAATCAGTTAGGGTTTAATTCAAATGGATTTGTGGGTTCTCGCTTAGAGGAAGAAGAGCATACAGTTAAGGGGGTTTGGAGAGAGAGAGAGAGAGAGAGAGAGAGAGAGAGAGAGAGAGAGAGACTCCGGAATGTTGGGATTATTTTGCTTCAGAGGGAGATTTCGAATCGGTCAACGTTCAGGTTGCAAAGGACAGGGCTTTCAATTGTTTTCAATTTGTAAGTTCCCATTTTGCTTAAATATTGCTCTATTGTATGGGAGTGCTGGATGTATAATCGATACCACCAGCTGAGTCGGAGAAAGGAAGGAAGCGGTGGAGGTCGACGGAGATGAAGGGCAGCCCTTATTTTCTTTTTAAATTAATTTTTTTATTTGCCACGTTATTAAAATTGTGGACCTCATATTTGCCATGTCATCACTTAACGGCTAAGTTAACAGATTATGTAACGAATATATGAAACTGAAATAAAAGATAAGTAAATGTATGAGATTGAAATACTTTAAAGATGTTATATAAGTTACAATTGTCCCCAAACTTGAAAGGGTAAAATGCAATTTACCCTACTTTTAATGCATACACTTAATTTATTATGTGTACTTGTTGCATGCATTATTTTGCATGATTTTTTTTTTTTTGTAAGAATGAGCTTCAAATGAAGATTAAATAATTGAACGGTTTTGACTATAAAATTTATATATTGTAAATACGTTATTTGCGAATGGTGAAATATGAACATTATTTCCCTCGTGGAGGGATGCAAGTATTTTCTCGTTGTTATATACTCGTTTTTCTCTTGTATGATCACTTTCACATATACAATTGAAGACTTGTTGCCCAAGCTTAGCATGAAGGATGACATGGACTCAAATTTTGATCTCCTGGAATTTCCATTTTTCTAATTTGATGTGGTTTTACTGTAAGTTTCAATTTAATTAATACTTTCAAGTTAATACGTGTGTGGCTGTGGTTTTGTTATATATCTTGCTCGTTAGTCCAGACTCTTTGACTCTGGTCTAATTCCTATATGAACACTTGTGATTTTCTCTCAAGGGCATTTTAATGATACGCTTGCAGGCGCGTTTTAAGGTCTTCCCCCATTTAATTGTGAAATTAATGTTAGGAGAAAATTTGTACCACGTGATATAGGATTATTACGAAGGATGATATATTCCTTCACGATATCTTTCATATTTTATTAGCTTTCACATAAAGCGTGCAAAGAAAATGTGAAAAAAAAAATTCGAACACAATAAACTCCAGCCTAAAGTTTAAAGATGTATGTTAATCAATATTTTGCACACCCGAAACCTAAAGGAAAACTAATGAAAAAAGCTTGAAAACTTTGAGTT